TAGAATAGAATAGAATAGAATAGAATAGAATAGAATAGAATAGAATAGAATAGAATAGGAATAGGAATAGAATATAGAATAGAATAGAATGGAATGGAATGGAATAGAATAAAATAGAATAGAATAGCAGAGTTGGAAGGGACCTTGGAGGTCTTCTAGTCCAACCCCCTGCCTAGGCAGGAAACCTTACACCACTTTGGCTTTTCAGCAGCTGGGTTGGTTGTCCCAAGGACCACAGATATATTTTCCTAAAAATAATAACGCAGAATTTAAAAGTAAGGCATGACCAGTCCAGCTGGGAAGCAACGCGAACTGTTTTGCTTGGCACCTATGCAAATCAGAAACCTTGGTCTACATTGGGTCGATTCACGACCTGCAGGGAAGTTGGAAAAATCAACTGTCGGGGATGCAAAATTCAACAGAGAGTTCCCAGGAATTCAATTTCCATTTTGCAGCTGGACTTTGGGTCAGTCAATGGTACATTGTTTCCTGCCCGTGCAAGAGGGTTAGACTAGAAGACCTCCAAGGTCCCTGCCAACTCTATTCTGTTCTGTTCTAATTTCTATTCTCTTTTCTATTCTCTTTTCTCTTCTCTTCTGTACTAAGAGACTGGGAGAAAGGAAAGAAGGAAAATGAGAGAGGGAGAGAGAGAGAAAGTAAACAAGAAGGAAAGAGAAAGGAAGGAAGGAAGGAAAGTAATGAGAAAGGGAGAGAGAAAGTAAACAAGAAAAACAAGAAGGAAAGAAGGAAAGAGAAAGGAAGGAAGGAAAATAAATGAGAAAGGGAGAGAGAAAGTAAATGAGAAACAAGAAAGAAGGAAAAAAAGAGAAAAAAAGAAAAAGAAAGATATTTTAATGTGAGTTTTATACCTCAAATACACAGTAATTTTTCTGGTTTGGCCAACAAGCTGGGTTTTTTTTTTTCTCTGATTTTTGCTTGGACAAAAAGAGAAAATGGGGTGTGGGGAACCCCAGAAAAATGACTCAGCCAGTCTAGAAAAACCACAGCCATTTTCTCAGCTTTCTGTTCCTGGAAACCTCCTGCCCCCAAAACCAAATGACAGAAAACCAAACCTATCACCGCCCTAAACGTGAACCTCCAGAAAACACAAAAACCGAGCCTCTTTCTTAGGAGCAGTCTACCTGACAGGCCAAAAGACTTTGGGGCAGCATTTGACCCAGGGATGCTTGCAATGGTCGTAAGGGTGAGGACAGGTCGTAAGTCCCTTTTTTTTTTTTTCAGTGGCCGGCGTAACTTTTGAATGAAAAGTTGAAAAAGTTGCGGGTTGAGGACTTTGGGTGGCTGAATTTGCACCCAGGACCTCTTTAAGATAGCAGGAGGGGAATGCAAATTTTGAGGTCGGGGGGTGGGGGGACGGGGGGTTTTTTTTCCAAGACTTACTTCCGGTGGAGGAGGAAGACCTTCGCTGGCCAGTTGAGGGGGGTGTGTGCTCCGCAGGCAGGGGGGGGGGGGGGGGGGGGGGAGCAGCCCCCCTCGGGGAGGGGGGGAGGAGGGGGAGGGGCCTCTCCGGTGGGCGTCTTCTCCGCCGCGCTTCCGTTGTGCACTTTCTCGCTGGAGAGAAGCGAAGCCTGGGGGGGCCGGGGGGGGGGTCATGAAAACAAAAGATCAGCATCCGAAAAGGAGCCCCCCACCCAATATATATAAACTAGGGAGGGTCCCTCCTGAGGTGCTTCCCTTTTCCTTCTCAGGGCTCAGCTGCCTCTTATCTGATTATTGCCTAGTCTGTGTCTCCTCCTCCTCTCTCCCAAGGCCATTCCCATAGTCCACTGCAATATTTCTGCCCCCTCCTCTTTACAGCCCAAGAAACTAGGGAGGGTCCCTCCTGGGACGCTTCCCACGCTCCTTTTCCTCCTCCGATGCCTAGATTGCAGCTTCACCAGGTTGGAGATCTGGGATCCACTCCGGTTCTGCAGATTCTCCCAGGGCCCCCCTGTCCATGGTTCTAATCCCACCCACCCCCACAAAAAAATCTGGATTCTCACCTCCTCGCTGTGGGCCATCCTGGACGTTCTCTTGTTCTGTTCTCCGCCGCCGCCGCCGCTATCCAGACGTTTGTAATAATCCCCCGTGCTCGGCTGTTTGCTGAATCTTTTGGATCTCCTGCTGGGATCTGTCCTTTGCAGCTGTTGGCAGGTGAGCTAAAAAAATAATAATAATCAGCTTTGTTAAATTGGATCCCGGATGCCAGGAGGGAAACCAACCTTGGCAGTTGGCAAGATTTGCTTCAAATGACATTTTTT